GTGTGGCTGTCAGCTTTACCTGTGCATTTAGTTCCTTTGTGCGTTGGGTGAGCATGGCCCTGCCCTTGTCCAGCCGCGTGAGCTGATCACGATGGTCGTCCTTCATCATATCCATCTCCGCATTTAGTTCGGAGTAGCGGTGCTTAAGCCGGGCATTCGAAGTGGCTACACTGTGTATTCGTGAGGATTTCGGGAGACATATTCAATACACTTGATATAGTTTGATAGCTTGTACACTTTAAGTGATGAGAGTTTGGGACTGGTTATATGCTACAGATTATACGCTAGGAAATCCTTCTGTGCTATCTCCTATACATACGCACCCCCTTGATAGGAGAAGCGCATCTAGACGTTACATGAACATCAGAACAGGCATTCGAATGAACGCTTTGAAGAAATGTTTACATATTACACATATTTTTTAAATTACTTTCGCGCCCCACTACGAGCCAGATAATGGGAGGTATCCGGAATAAACGTTTGCCTTTGCGTATAGTACGCCGACAAATAACTGTAACAGTTGATCGCCAAAACACATATATTCTCTTCAACGACAATTTGCGCGTGAACGTGGATGGCGCAGGATAAGAATAGATATATACATTAAGAATAGTTCTATACATTAAGAATATATATATACTTAAAAATGGTTCAATACATTAAGAATAGATATATACATTAAGAATAGATCTATACAATCAGATTAGATATAAACATTAAGAATAGTTCTATACATTAAGAATAGATATATACATTAAAAATAGTTCTATACATATGCATGTGTGGCTTGTACGCTCGCCTTGTAGCAGATCACAACACACTGCACCCCCCCCCCAAAAAAGTGGTATGTCCTCACAGGTCCCTCCTCTCACACAGATGGGGTGTCCCTTTTAGTCCATGCGAGGTGCCTGGTCACATACATTTGCATTTCCACCCCCACAACGGCTTGCTCGTGTGCGTGGATGGCTTTCGATAAGATGTCTCTGTTCATGTGCACTATTCGGCTCTGGTCCATGTATTCGACAAAGACCTTCCGCGACCTCTCACCCTTGATATTCGTGTACCTGAGGCAAGATCACACAGAATAGTTGATATACATCACTCTTGATTATTTATGTACCTGAGGCAAAATCACACAGAATAGTTGATATATATATATATATATGCACATATTTCATACAGTGATCAAGATCATACAGATAGGTGTATACATTATACACACAATTCAATCGGCTGCAGTCGATACATTGAACTCGGCAGTTGGTAGGTCGCAGTTTCTCTGGTACTATTATACGCAGGAGTTATTCCGTACTTACTCATTCAACTTGGTGAGGATGATGTTCTCGTTCTCCAGTTGCCACCGGTAATCACTGAGGCATTCTTGCAGCAGCGAGATCTGTTGTTGTGGCGACATGCCTTTCAGACGATCCAGAGGTATCTGCCGACCCACAACGCCAACAATAAGGGTCAGAGATATAATGATGAACAAATGACATATTTAAACGTACACGACTGTCACCCACGCTATATGTATGAATGTATGTTGCGTGTGAAAGGCGCGATTGTCATATACGAGTGTGTGCAAGCGCTACTGTCTTATAACTAAATATTTAAATGGTGCTGGAGCGTCCACCATTAACAGACCATCATTAACAGTCACGTTAACAGACCGATTGACATGTACAATAAAACTTCAATTTGCGTTCCTAAGTCTCACATTGCAATGCTTCACTAGTGCGATTGAGGGGGATGTATGTCATGGATGTAATATTCGTTTCCTTCAAGGCCAAGAAGGCCTGCTTTCGATATGCCTATCACTGCAGTTTCATACTGTTACTTACGTCCAATGCTACTCTACAGTAAACATCTGCGACTTGTACCATATGTTAAAAATAACTGACTGCCAAATCTATGTATACTATACGCGGAAAGCTGCAAACTATACACATTACAAGCACACAGACAGAGGCACAGACTCACACAGACACAGACAGACTCACACAGATTCACACAGACTCAGACTCACACAGACACAGACACAGACACAGACACAGACACAGACTCACACTAACTCAGACTCACACAGACACAGACACAGACACAGACACAGACTCACACTAACTCAGACTCACACAGACACAGACACAGACACAGACACAGACACAGACACAGACACAGACACAGACACAGACACAGAGACTATATATATATATATATAAATATAATATTCGTATATGAATCTATGTACACATGTATGTATAAGCATGAAGCGAGTGTAGCATGTCTCAGTAAACGACTTGTTGTCACTAGCATTCGTACGCACCTCACATTGGGCGGCATCCACAGTCGGCTCAACTTCAGTCTGTGCCGCCAATGAACAGTTAGACTTAAATTCATCACCGTTGTCATCGAGGTTCACCTGTGACCCTGCATGTGCATCGCACATAGTGACAGCGGTAATTGATCAGAATGTGAAAGTTATGTTTCCAATGTCGAAGATATATAAGTGATATATTTTGCGTGATAGACAAATTCTAATACCATGAATTCTCAATAAGGACACTGTACACGAGAACATACAGACACACAGACACACAGACACAGACATCGACACATGTAAAGCGCACAAAAAGACACACACGTAATATAAAAATATATACATATGCATAAACACACACACATACATACGTATACATATATACACACACAGACACACACAGACGCACACACACACACACACTCACACATATTTATATATACTTATGTATAAACATACATTTATATACATACAAGTATACATACATAATATACAT